GAATGGTACAGATTGTCTAAAAAAAAAAAAAAAAAAAAACTTTATACAACAAGATTCTGCTCCTTGAAGAATGAAAACCAGTTCCATTCCAGAGACTATCCCTGCCAATGATAGACAAAAATGAGCAAAGTTGCGTGGTGTACTTCGTCATACTCATAAGTATTGTATAGAACCAGAAAAAAAATAAAAATGGGAATCATACTGGATATTAAATGTCTATCAAAAACCCGCTTTTTTCTCAGCAGCATGTAGAGCAGTAGATACATGCTGTGGAAAAAGATTTTAAGCACGGACAAGCATTCTCAGTAACAATGGTAGAAAATACAACACGATGAAACATGATTCCAGGACTGACAAAACCAAGAATCCGCATACTGATATGTACCATAGAATTGAACCCAAAATCATATATAACACACATGGCAAGTATAAATGAACTTGATAACAGAACCGTCTGTACAAGTAAATTAGATTAATTTGCATAGATGACTACAAATCCGACGAATAAACATCACACATCCTTTAATTTAAAGAGACAGTAGCTTAGAGAAACACCAAATATGAAGCTCACAGTCAAGGTCAAAACCTGATAGCACTACACATATATATTTGAGTCCCGTACAAATATCTCCATACATGCATAAGGGCATCGATATGTGTACAAATTTGTATTTGTGTGTATACTCATGCATGTATTCATAAGCGTGAGTATATAGGGTTGGGAGTTGGGGGGGGGTGTGAGAAACGTACTCGAGTAAATCTATATAAGCCAGTCCATCAAAGGCATCTGCTCTAAAAGCTGAACTTTAGATGTTTGAGTTCTGATATTTTTGTCTAATGCTTCTAGTATCACAGTATCTCGAGCCACTTGACTTTCCATTTCTTCAATCTCTGAATTAAGTCTCTTTAGTTCACCCTTGTGCAATAGTATATCTTTCTTCTTATTGTCAATACTCTTCATTAGCCTTTTCTTTTCATCCATGAGCCTTAATGCTTCACCAGCTGATACCATGGCATCCTTAATTTCATCAAGTCGATTCCGTAGCCATTTCACGTTCATCTTCATTTTTTCCGCATCTTGGACAGCTGAATAACAAGACTCTAGCATAGAAATATCAATGTCTTTCAACTGTTTCTTCTGTAAGTCTTGCACCACTTCACAGATACCAAACAGAACAAGAGTCTTCATACGATCAGACTCCAATAAACAATCTTTAGTAATATCTCCATGCTTTTCAGTTATGGAATTCATGGTCAGGGCAAGATTTGTTTTGCTGTTAGTGTCACTTGCTCGATTTTTGTCCACAGTAATACCATTGCTGTTAGTGTCACTTGCTCGATTTTCGTCCACAATAATACCATTGGACTTTCCAATAATGTTCGGAGCTTGCTCAGTTTCCCGAATAGGTAACGGATTAGTAGTAGTTCCATTATTAATTTGAGATCTTGATTGAGAAACATGTGTCATCTGCTCTTGCCATCTCGAGAATGTCATAGAGGGCTGATTACATTTTCCAGTTACTTTTTCTTGAAAAGCTGCAAGACATAAATGTGTTCAAATATTAAAAGAGGCAATAATCAAAGCAGTTTTCTTTGAACATCATCACAAGGTACCAACTTAAGGCATCCCATGTTTTTAACATGAATGAACCTACAAGTATTTAGACCGTTCCGGATTATTACTTAAACTTTGCACGCATAAATGATTGAGAAAATTTTCAGGAACACAGTATGGATTGATATATTGTGAAGCTTTTCTAGTACTTGATTCAACTCAAGAGACCTCAAAAGTTGTTTAAAATAGGCAATGTACATGACTAACCATCAACTTCCGGTCGTTTTAGATCAGGTGATCTAGGAATCCAATTGCTTGTTTGAGCTTTAAACAGATCAATATGCTCATTTAAGTATAATGAGCTCTGATACGGATTTGGAAATCCATTTTAAAAATTCAACGTTGTTAAGAGTTGTAGTTTTCGGGGGCTTATATGATGTACAGTATTCTTAATTAGACTTGGATATACCTTAAATATGGTGATTACTGGTGTATAATGCCCAATGTAATGCAAATCTACCGATGTTTGCAGGAATTAATACTTGTATAAGCCGCATGCACAAGTCTATGAAACACAAATAAAGTAAAAAAAATGAAGAAACCGAACGTTATTACAAGAGAAAAGAAAATATTAGAACCCTTACAAAGCTGGGAAATGGATCTAGCTTTTGATGTGCGGCTTCTGCGGCGTCGATACTGTTGTGGTGGTAGAGCTGGGCTATAAAACTGGGGCCGAACTCTTCTTCTAGAGGTACGCCTGGTACTCGTACCTGCAGGTGGCTGCTCCCTTGAAGTTTCTTCTAGTGGGGGCTGTGATAGGGGCTGTGAGAGACCAGCGGTGGCGGAGGTGGTGGCACTTTTGGCTGCGGGAGTTTTGAGTGAAAACCCAGGCGGTGGAACAGGCAAATCAGGCGTGGGTAAGGTTACTCTCTCGACCTTTACCATCTTAGAAGCCAGAAAGTACTGTTCAAGCTGAAGAATTGCTGTGTGTGAGAGAGGATGGGGGTAGAGGCTATAGAATGTATCGAAGACTAAGGTCAAGTTTTGCTCTTGAAAAGTGAAACGTTCAGAATTCAGACATTTGGACAAGGAAGAAGACATTTGTCCAGAAAAACAATGGGTGGGGCTGCGCGGGGTCCCTGTACGAACTGTGCAGGCATGCTACAAACTGCATTGGCCGGGAGAGAGATGGCAACGAGAGCAAGTTAACATTTAAAGTATTTTTTATTTTTTTAAAAATAAGTTCGAGATATATAATAATGAGGAATTTGTTTAAGAAGCCTCGTCAACATTAATCTTTGGTAAAATAGTCCATGTCAATAGTTTTTGTTCAAATAGCCTATACTATGTATCAAATGTCTCAAATACCCTTAAAGTTGAAATGACTAAAATATCCTATTTGGAGATGAATATTTACCAAATTCTCAAACATAAATCCCTCAAAAAATAAGTTCGAGATATATAATAATGAGGAATTTGTTTAAGAAGCCTCGTCAACATTAATCTTTGGTAAAATAGTCCATGTCAATAGTTTTTGTTCAAATAGCCTATACTATGTATCAAAAGTCTCAAATACCCTTAAAGTTGAAATGACTAAAGTATCCTATTTGGAGATGAATATTTACCAAATTCTCAAACATAAATCCCTAGATCTCCTTCATTCTAACATATCAAACCCCATTTTCACCCTTTTAAATCCACCTTCATTTCCACCTTCTTGTTCTTCATATGCATTATTCTTACTTACAAGTAATGATTACATTTTGAAGTTTCTTTATTTGAGCCAAGAACAAATCCAGCTGTGCAAATTTTGGAAATGAGTTAGCAAGAATTGGTTTCAAACAGTTGAAGGTATGCTTTATAAATTGAAAATTAACGATTTCTTGTTGTTTTCTAGTTGTATACTATAAAAAATCAATTGGGTAAGCAAAATTTGCTGTGAAATATAAAAACGGAATGGTGCCGTTTTCCTGTAATTGGATGCCGTTTTCTTGTAGTTGTATGCTGTTGTAATATGACAACGGTGGTATTGACATAGTTGCTTGTAAATTAGTCATTCCTCTATTCTTTTGTAGCATTTTATTATTGTAAACAAATTGAAATGACACATACACATTTTAAACTACAGAATACAGTTTTTTCTGCTTAAAATCAGTTATGTGACAATGTGGGCTGCCTTCTATTTGTTNAAAATCAATTGGGTAAGCAAAATTTGCTGTGAAATATAAAAACGGAATGGTGCCGTTTTCCTGTAATTGGATGCCGTTTTCCTGTAGTTGTATGCTGTTGTAATATGACAACGGTGGTATTGACATAGTTGCTTGTAAATTAGTCATTCCTCTATTCTTTTGTAGCATTTTATTATTGTAAACAAATTGAAATGGCACATACACATTTAAAACTACAGAATACAGTTTTTTCTGCTTAAAATCAGTTATGTGACAATGTGGGCTGCCTTCTATTTGTTACTGTAACTATATTTTATAGTATTCAGTTTTGACAATTAATGGGGTAATATATTACATTTTTTTGATTGAATTGCAGATATGGACTCTGGAACGATGATTGTCATTTGTTATTTTGTTGAATTTGAAAAGAGTGATCAAGGAGGATGGATTTGGAAATGGATAGGAAATGATCAAGAAACTGCAACAAATATTTTTGTGTCAAAGACTATTTCATATACGGAGTTATACGAAGAAGTCCGAAAAGTAGTTAAAGTTGATCCCGTTATGTATGACATCGAGATGAAATTTCTCGTTCCCGGCATAGTAAAATTAGCAGTTCCGCCAATGAAGATTACTTGCGATATGGATGTTAGTTGGTTTCTCTCTTTGCATGACCAAGTTCCAATTTGTGTAACCCTTCTGGAAAAAGGTAATGATGATCAACAAAACATGGGGCTTGATATGATAAATATTCAAGAGAATCATGAACACAATTCAAACGTTGTTGTGGATAATGTGGATGAATGCAATATGCAAAAAGATAAGTTCGATGACAGTTATATGCAACTGTTGTCTCCATTTAATCAAAATTGTGAAAACGAGTATGTGAATTTTACAAGTGATGAGTATTGGGATGGGGTGGAAATAGTGCATGGCAACTATATGAATGATTCTCATGTGATAAATAAAGACAATGTTACTCAAAATACACGGTTGACATTGGTAGATGAGATTATTGGCAATTCACAAGAAGTTGTTTGTTTGAATCCTTGTGAAACATCGGTTAAGATTCCCGACACCGATGATATGCATGTTAGCCAAATTTTTCGCAGTAAGAAAGATCTCCAGGCTTTACTACAAATGCTTGCTGTAAGAAACTGTTTTAAATTTTAAAATCGCTAAGTCAAATAAGAGTACATATGTAGTAGTTTGTGTTGAAAAAATTTGCAAATGGCGTTTGCGGGGAACACGGTTGAAGGAAAGCGAGGAATTTGAAATTCGAAAGTACTCACGTCATCATGCTTGTTCATTGGATGTTCGCCACAAAGATCATAGACAAGCTAGTTGTTGGATGATTGGAAAACACATCATGTCGAAATTTGAGGATCCTAACATTATATACAAGCCTTCGAACATCCAGAATGATATTCGTCGGGAGTTTGGCATAGATATAAATTATTATAAGGCATGGATGGCTAGAGAATGTGCTTTAGAGCTATTAAGAGGTTCACCTGATCTTAATTATGATAGATTGGTGAAGTATTGCAATATTTTGAAGAAGAATAATCCCGGCATAGTGACGTTCATTGAGGTTGATAATGAGAACCGTTTCAAATATTTTTTCATGGCTTTAGGACCAAGCATACGTAGCTTTCATTCATCAATGAGACGGGTCATTTCTGTGGATGGAGCATTTCTCAAATCCAAATTTCGTGGTACGTTACTTGTTGCCACATGTCAAGATGCAAATCTTCAGATATATCCTCTTGCATTTGGCATTGTTGATTCTGAAAACGATGCATCATGGACTTGGTTTTTCAGTAAGTTATTTCAAGTAACAAGTATGTTGGAAGGGTTTGTTTTTATTTCTGATCGTAAAGAGAGCATTGGTAACGCTATAAAGATTGTTTATTGTTATACACATCACGGATGTTGCATGTGGCATCTACAACTAAACATAAAGTCCAATTATCACAGGACGGATATTTTGCCATTGTTTATGGCAACTGTAAAGGAATATAGTTTGATTAATTTTGAAAAATCAATGGCAAATATATATCATAAAAGTGCGGCAGTTGGAAAATACCTAGAAAAGACTGTTGGATATGAAGTTTGGTCTCGAGCACATTTCAAAGGAATCCGTTACAATATTATGACAACTAACAATGCAGAATCTTTAAACTCGTTGTTCAAGAATGCTCGCGAATTTCCAGTACTTGCTATGGTTGAGCAAATCAGAATGACCTTGCAGAAATGGTTTTATGAGAGACACATTGAGGCTGAAAAATATGCAACTACTCTAACCCCACATATTGAGGAAAAAATGCGTAAACAGTATGACGATGGAAAGGGACAGATGGTGGTACCAATAAATGAGTACGAGTTACACGTTGGTGTTGAAAATGAAATGCATATTGTTAACTTGGAGGCAAGAACTTGTACTTGTAGGGAGTTTGATTTAGAAAAGCTTCTTTGCAAACATGCACTTGCAGCAGCGAAGTTTAAGGGAGTATCTTGTTATAGTTTGTGCTCACCCTATTATACCACTACTAGTTGGAAACAAGCATATGCCGAATATATATATCCAGTGGCAAATGAGGCTGACTGGGAAATCTCCAATCAAACTAAGGTGTTACCACCCCTTGTGAATCGACGACAAAGTGGGCGTCCTAAAAATCGGCGAATTCCATCAAGAGGGGAGGGAAAAAAGACTCGTGAATGTAGTAGATGTGGTCAGAGTGGCCATAATCGCCTAACTTGCAAAAATGCTCTGCACTAATTGATGGATCATGGGACTTGTTTTTGCCAAACTTCATCTTGAAATTGTGGTTAAATTACGATGGTTTTTGATGCATTTTGATAGTTTTGATAAATTGTTATGGATGAATGTAAATTATAGCTATTTTGATCAGGTTCTGGTAATTGTGATAACAGCACTTTATTTTGACCAAAACAACATCTAGTCATTTTAAACGTATGCCTAATGTTTCTACTCATTTAATGTTCAATTCTATTCATTTACGTTTATTATGGATATATATGCAAAACAGGTCATGTTTGATGTCCTCAAGCATTTTTTACTAGTTTCGGAGTAAAATCGATCCCCCATGACCCAAAACGGCATGTGATCGTTTTGAACGTATGTCTGGCGTTTCTATTCATCTTGTGTTCGTCTTGATTCATTCACGCCCGTAACCACGC